GACGTGGGAAAATACCCGAACAAAGCTGAATACATACATACATACATACATATATACATACATACATACAATCTTCCTTACTTTGCTTACATTTACTATTTTCCCATGAGTACTTTAAAGCTATTATCTTAAAGACCTTAATTATACATATTTCAGGGTAACAGTCTTCAGATTCCAGATTCCAGAGGAGTCTCTTCAGACAATAGGTGAACCTACATGAAAAAAAGCTTGAAGGGATTTAAGTATGGGAGTCTGTATATGTTGAGAAAAAGATGGACAGCCTTTTTCGTAGGCTTTGAAAGAGTGCCCAGCATGAAGGAAACAATGCTGCTCTGCCGAACTTGTCTCAAACAACATTCTTCTGGTTCATGATGAAATAGCAGTTATAACTTTTAGAGTTTTATAAAATACCCGCAAGAACCTTTTATAGGCTATAGTGTTGGAATATTTTGCTGGAGCATTCATATGTTTATTAAGACTTTGAAACTTGTTTTATTTTAAGATTTTTGCTTGCCTTTTTTACTTTGCACTATTTATAGGCCTTAAAAATAGCTTACCCAGAGAAATGAGATAAGGCATACATAGCTTCTCTTTAGATAAGTCAATTCTCAGAAAAGATAGAGATCTTTCAAAGGAAGAAAGGAATTTCCATATATGAAATATTGTTGAAATGAGAAATGGCTACCTGGACAAAGAGTGGTATTCTATAGAAGGGGCTAATTGTAAAATTTATATAAGTTATGCTGGATGGAAGCGGATTTTGCAGTCACCCATCTAATAGCTTGTTTTATTGCTTTTGGGTGAAAAATAAAGAACTTAATTCACTTTTGGGGGCTTAGGTCACTTTTTTGGTTGCTTTTTGTTTATCCCAGCTCACAATCAAACTTGGTAAGGGATAAAAATTACAATTTATCTAGGCTTTCCCTGTAATCAATGTATTAGGGACTGATTTTTGAAAAAAAATAGTAAAACTTAGAAAAACTAAGAAAAATAATTGTGCCTCCCTCCAGTCTTGATCCTTATTTGTTGAAGGTAAGAGTAGGGTATTGTTACATGATGATTAATCAAAGACTACTAAATCTACAACAAGTAATATTTTTAACAATTATATAGCATTAAAGATTGTTGACAATTTGTTAGCAATAAATTTTTATAATACATGGATCAGATAAAATAACAGATAATCAGAGTTGGAAGGGACCTTGTAGGTCATCTAGTCCAATCCCCCCCACCCAAGCAGGATACCCTACACCATTCCTGACAAATGGCAGTCCAATCTGTTCTTGAAAGTCTCAAGTGATGATGCTCCCACAACTTCTGGGGGCAAGCTCTTCCATTGGTTGATTGTTCTCACTGTCAGAAAGTTTATCCTTATTTCCAGGTTAAATCTCTCCTTGTTCAGTTTCAATCCATTATTCTGGCCTACAGGTGCTTTAGAAAATAACTTGACCCCTCCTCTCTGTGGCAGCCCCTCAAAGATTGGAACACTGCTATCATGTCTCCCCTGGTCCTTCTCTTCACTAGACTAGCCATGCCCAGTACCTGTAACCATTCTTCATATGTTTTAGTCTCCAGTTCCCTAATCATCCTGGTTGCTCTTCTCTGTACTTTTTCTAGTGTCTCAACATCTGTTTTATAATGTGATGACCAAAACTGGATGCAGTATTCTAGGTCTGGTCTAAGGCTTTATAGAGTGGTATTAGTACCTCATTTGATCTCGATTGTACCCTCTGTTAATGCAATTTAGAATTACATTAGATCTTTTGGCTGCTTCTGCACACTGCTGGCTCATATTTAGCTGGTTGTCCACTAAGACTCCAAGATCCTTCTCACAGTTAGTATTATTGAGCCTGGTTTCACCCAGTCTATATGTGTACTTTTGGTTTTTCTTGCCTAAGTGTAGGACTTTTCTCTACATTGAATTTCATTTTGTTAGATACGTCCCAATTCTAGTCTTCAAGATCCATCTGGATCTTGAGCCTGTCTTCTTGGATGTTAGCTATTCCTGCCAGTGATTATATGTGAGTAAACTGTTATAATTTGATATCTAGTTTTTATGAATAACTAGATTACTAAACAAAGTCAAGGCTCAAGAGATATAGTACCAGTATAATAATGACTTCTAAAAAATTATGTTTAGCAAACAGCCTCTCTGTTTAGCAATGACCATACAGTACCTTCAAATTATAAATGTCTGTAGATATATTTTCCTGATGATTTTCTAATATTGCTTTCTTTTAAGAGCCCTAATATTTAGTTTTGTTTTAGTTTTTTCTACAGCAGACAAATTTATTTGCAAATTCTTTTATATAACTTTTTCCAAGCCATACTTGGTCTTCAAGTGCGACAGCAACTCCAAAAAGCTGGAGGTGGGACTGAGAAAGAAACTAAATCTGATCTGTCTGCATTTACCCTTGATTTAAATTTAGTTAAAATTGTAATTAACATAATTGCTAGATGTCATGACTTTTACAATTTTCTCTTTCTGTTGCATTTAAAATTACAATTTGATTAAATTTCTTGTAATTCTTGGGGAGTGGCATGGCTCCGTGGGAAATCTGCCTAAACTCTGTTTTATACCAGACAGAGGAAAATGTTAGAAATGACCTTGGTAAAACAAAGTATATAAAATATTCTGGTCTCCTTGAAATTAGTTCAGCCAGGCAAAAATAATTATATGGAGACATTCAATATGGTATTGCCTAAATAATATGCAAACATTGATGCAGATCTAGTCAAAGATGCATAATTAATTTGGATTTGTATTACCAAATATTAAAAATCTCTCATGAGTTCATTGATTTGGAAAATTAGTGAATCCTCTTAAATGATTCACTAACTATTAAGGACATTATTTTTTATTTGTTTAAAAAAAGATCTCTGGGTCTTGTTATAATGCTCTGATCATTATTCTAAGCTATTATGGGGTGAAAACAAAAATGGACCAGTTGAAAAAGGATATTTCAGCCTCATATCAATTTTAGAAAATAGCTGAATATGAAAAAATTTTCAAGCAGAATTTATGTACAGTATATATTGAGTATATAGTTCAGGGTAGACAAATTTAGTTCCACTCTGCAACACTTACACATGCTCAAGTGTAAGCCTATATGGTCCTTTGTGTTTCAATCTATGATATGCATGCGTTGGAGATTACTACCTTGTTTCCATTTCTAGGTAGGAAATACAAGAGACCTGCAGATTCTGTACCAAAGTTCACAATTTCACCCTAGCCAATTCGTTATTTTCATTATTTTCAATTTTTTTCTTCTTAACTTTTATTGTGTGTTACACAAAACTAAAGGCACACAAGTCTTGTTTTGGATCAACATTAGAAAAAGATAACAATACTTGCATGAGGAGCTAGAGTGTTGTGCAAAATATGCTGACTCTGTAAAACTGCTTAGAGAGGGTTGTAAAGCACTATAAAGCAGTATATAAGTCTAAGTGCTATTACTATTTGTATGTGAAATGGCAAGGATTAGAAGAACACTTTGACCAATCTTATGAAATGAAGGTAAATTATAGACAGCAAAATCAATTTATAGCATGAAACTAGGACATATTTGCTAGGATTGAAGTTATCTGATAGTTTCAATAATGTTAAAATTAATATTGCTGTAGAAATATTTTCAGGTAATGTAGCCCTGAGACCAATGTGAGTAAACTTAACTAGAACTAAAACTGCTTTTTCAGTGAAGTTTAAACTTTTAAAAAATAAGTTTTCTTTATTGTTTGAAATTATTTGTGCTCTTCATTTTCACTGCTGCAGTAAACACAATATCTCATACCATTTTTTCATCAATGTCTGATCAGTTCCTGCTTCATGTTAAATTAAACTGCAAACCGTACTGTATGATTCTCTTACAGGCAAGCTTTTTCAATACAAACTTAGGCAAGCTTCCCTTCCTAAGAGCTTTGTTCATAATGCTTTGAAATATTTTACTTCCCTATGTTAAATTTTTGAAATATCTACAATATATCACTTTTTCTAGTTTAACTTTAGAGTGAGGAGATGGTACATCTTAGCAATAAAGCAGATGGATTATAAGCAAAGTTTCCAGGTAAGGTTGAGAAAATATATTGTGCAAAACTCTAGAGAGAGATTGCCAGTAATTGCTGACTATTGCTGACTATGGTGTAGATAGAAAAATGGACTGATTTAAGCTGAGGCAGGTTCTTTCCTTGCCTGCTCTATCAGATTAGGTAGGATAGGTACAATTCAGATTCTTTCCCTTAAATGGTGCCGTCCAATGAGACTTGGAAGATGCCTTCAAGTAAAGTTCATAACAGATGAGTCCAACTACTGAAAGAAAATTGAAATTAGACAGGGCTAGACAAGGCTTACTGGGACAATGAAGGTAGAAATAATGTGTGCAAACATTGTGCCTTCTTCATTTTTCTCTGTGATCTTAATATCTAAACAGTTAGTTGATTTCCTTTGTGTTTTTAAATCATTAATATACATATCAATAAATAAATCATAGATGAGTGCAAGTTTACCATAACATAATATTGAAGATCTGACAAGTTATTTTATAAAACAACAATGCAGCAATTTAGAATGTTTATTCTTTTCTATGATATTCTCTGGAAGATAAAACTTATGAATAACTAAGGGCTATTTAAAAACAATCCCAAATCAAACCATTAACTGTTTTAGTTTCAACAAATTGGGTTCAACCAACTGGATAACATTATTTCTTTTGATTTATTTAAAATACTTTAAATTTTAAAAGCAAAACAACTGTTTTATGAATATAGATATATGAAAGATATTACCATCCTACAGATTCAGGTACTGCTGAAATTTAGATCCAAGGATTAGACATAATTTATTCAATGGCAGAAGGGCATTTAATCTTTCCCCCTTAGATTGTTAAAAAAGCTCCTATTTCACTGGAACAAAAATCCATCAAAAGACATGTCTGAGCATTCTGTTTTCCCATAGTTAAATATATTTCATTAATATCAGTCTTTCCTTTCTTTTTCTGTTACAGTTATACAAGCAGAGTGGTTACAAATGGATTGAAAGCCCAAATAAATAATCCAGAGCTGATAGTCAGAGGGTTGGATCCAGAGATAGGTCATTTAATTGACAAGTTGAAACATTTTAATCAGGTAAGTATTTATGTTTGGAGAACTGAAAAGGCTTTTGTAAAAGCTTTTCTTGTTTGCCTTCTCTACTGGCCCTTCTTGCCCTCCTCTTCATCCTTTCCACACACCTGCACACTGGAGGGAAAACATCTCACTCCATACTAGATGAGCATTCTAGAAACATGAAAAACAAACAAACATCTTCATTGAGGACCATTTGTTATACTTGTGAAGGTTGGTCACATAACCATTCACACAATTTTGAAGAATGCCTACATCAGTATTGTTAAGGTAGTACCAAAGATTTTGCCCTCCATATCATTTGAAGTGACCTCTTTTAGTGGAGAAACACCAGAATATAGCTATATTTTGTATTCAGCCTGTTTATGATGGCACAGTGCAGTAAGATTTCAAAATGTCCTCCACTAACCATATGGGGTACTATTAAAACAGCTTGCAGATTTTTTCCTGAAAGTATTTTTTCTGAACAAAAGAAGATCTACCAGTAGGCATGTCAGAATCATCATGAACTTGTGCTGTCAAGTTATTCACTTGAGCTCTGAGAGATGTGTGCAGCCATCTGTTGAAAACTTTGATCTGTCCCTTGATACTGAATATATTAAAGTTTGTATTATTATGACATTGCACTAATATGTAGACACTGTCAGTCCAAATTAGCTAGAACAACCTACTATATTTAACAGAAATTGCTTTTCATTAATGTAAGCATATTTTCTTGTCCAACTTGAGAAAGCGTTGTTACAGGTCAGTAATGACAGGGTAGCAGCTCTCCCCAGTTGTTCTCCCTTAGAAGGTAGGCAATTTTTGACAGTTGCTACTAGTGGTAATGTTGATTGTGCTGATTCATGTAAAAAAGAAAGAAAGAAACAGTATGTCTCCTATAACTCATTTCTTTTGCTTTTTATTCTGGGACTTGAGTCTCAGAATATGCTGACAAAACCAAATCTCCAATCTGATGCCACCTTACAAATGTTGTTTATGTTTTTTAATCAAAAGCAATGTGTGATATGGCCAGAAGTCCTGCCATACAAAGGGATAAACACACACACACACACATACACACTTAGCTGATAGATGATGAGAAATGAGAGTTTGAAGAAATACCTAGGAACTATACACTCTTCCTTCACTTAATAAATCAGCATGTTACTTTTTACAATAGAAAGAATATCCCACAATCATTGTTAAAAAAGATTTCTTATTCAATTTCATATGTGGAATGGAAGAGGATATTCTCTTATTCTTCAGCTCAGACAACAAAATGTCTTGGACTAGCCTTAGAGGAAGAAAACATTGAGTATTTCATTAGGCTCAGCCTGCTGGGTGTTATCTGTAGCTTTTCAGAGCCTGCCCTTCAGCACTAGAACATAACCTGTACTTGAAAAGTAGTAATTCCATGAATGGTATAACATTACATTCTGTCTTCAATTATTCCTCCATCAAGTAAAGGTTTATTCTGTGACTTTCTGTTGAGGTAATTCCCCGTTAGGAGAATGAGCGCATACAGGGAGACGTATAGAGAGTAGTATTTGAATAATACACACACAGTACACAGATACACTGTACAGTAAATGTAGGTTTTTACTTCCAGAAAGTTTAAGCAAAATCCAAACAAGCAATCCAAAGTCATTCACAGGTAAGATCAGTCAGTTTTCAATCCAGGGATAATTCCAATAACAATTTACTCTGCTAGACATTGCTGGCTGTAGAGGGCGGTTCTCGTCTTTGTTTCAAGGCCATTGAGGCAGCACTGTCCGAAGAAATTTCTATGATCATATCTCATTTAAGCACAAATACATTTTAACAGAAAAAAGAATAGTTATATAAATTCTTCCTGTCTTATTGTTATGTGCTAGCAAATATATAATTTTAAGAAATTACTTATTATTCATGTACTGTTTCTCTGAATATACACGTATCATTCCTCTTGCAAACCATTTCAAGAATTATTTGCCCAGATTGTGTTGTTCGCAATGAAAGTGACGCAAGCCTTGTGTTCCCACAGGCCATGTGGGCGGCACAGCCTTGTGTTCCCATGCAGCCTGGATTAATTGCTTTGGGGGGTGCATTGGGGGTAACATTTTTCTGCGGACCACCAAAATTTTCTTGCAGAGCATCAGTGGTCCCTAGCCCACTGGTTGCAATCACTGGCCCAGATGATTTGATATGTACATTTTGTGTGGGCTTTTCTATGTTCATTAGGAAAATTAATCATAAGCCAGAA